CAGAAATGTAACCAAGAAGTTGTGGCTGCTACAAGTTCCCCTGCATTTTTGGATTTCCCGAGTGCAGTGAAGACATAAATATGTGAATAGATGACTGCTGGAAGGATTGTGAGCCATTTTGGGGGATAAGATCCTCACATAGTTTCCTTTTAATGAAATATATTTCAACATATCCTCATTTTAAAATAAGATCCTGGTTTTACATTGGACTAGAGTTCTTCCATAGTGTAGATGTTAGTAGTGAATTAAAGTAAAATGCCACATTTCAGAATAGGCTATATCTCTACATATTAGATCTACTTGCTCTGGTTGAAGACATTGTGATAGCCTCCTGGGACTATGTAAAGAGCCTACAAGCTTTTGCATGGCTCTGAAAATATTGATCGTCTGCATCTTGTAAGTGCATCTATTTACCACCTGTCAAGTGCATCATTGCAGAATCAGGCTTTATAAAGAGTCTGACTTGGTGATTAGAAAATTAGCCTAAACGGGGTATCATGGGATATATTGTAGTAGTCTCATTTGTCTGAAAAAGAATTAAGGAAAAAAATAATCTGTTGCTCATAGCAGGCATGTCAAACTCAAATCAAACTGTGGGCAAAGAAATTAAGTTCAATCTTTCAGGCCATTTTTTGTCAATGCCTAACTTAAAATGTAACTGTGCAGCATTTTTGGTAAGCCCCTGTCCTCTTACTGCCTTCAAATCTTATACTCACTTTTCTCAGAACTAGCAAAATCGCCACCGTGCGGCCATCTTTTCATTGCACAGCTTGTTGTAAGAAATCTTCACAGTCAGGCCCACCATCGGAGTACAAAAACCATCAATAGGATTGACCAAAGACTGCAGTGTGAATGGGTGTGACCAGCAGAGAAGATTTTGGCAAGTTCTGTTGCTGATTGAAATGCATCAAAAGGAGGAGCCTAGGTGGGCAGAACCCACCATTTTATACCCACAATTGCGACTGGAGTGCAGTTCTTACTTTTGTGTTGTTTCCTGCAGTTACACTTTTCATTTCAGAAAAAATTGAACACAGTACTAAAGCCCAAGTCATGAGGAAATTTAAAATTGGGGCACCAGGAGATATTTAAAACAAAAAAGTTGCTCTGCCTGCAATACTCACCTCCTCTACGGCAGAAAAGAGGTCCCTGCGTGTCACATGACCAGCCTGAAGATCTGGAAAATGTAAATATAAAAGTATATTAAAAAAGCATAAAATACTGCCAGGGGGACCTCCAGGACAGAAGGAGGCCACAGGAGCTCAGGCCCAGCTTTAACTATACAGCAATAACTGCAACTTACAATAAAAAAAAATCTGAAGTACTGAGCTGCATAATTGTGTAAGGAGGTTTAGTTTTTATCTGCTAGAGAATGGCTGGGGCCTTATTCAGTTTCTCGAACTGTCGAGGGCCCCAGAAAACACTGGGCTGACATGCTTTGCCTACAGCAGCCTTGCCCAACCTTTTTACCACCGTGAATCCTTGAATTGGTTTTCAGGTCTCAGGGAACCCCAACCAAAAAAAAAATATTATACTTGCAGCTCAAGGAAGTGTGAATAAAAGGTTGTAGAGTCTTAAATAAAAGAATAAAGAATGGGGTGTTCCTTGTCAGTCAAGAAATGATTCATTACGTTGGTGGTCAGTGAAGAGATGACTCCTTATATTAATGGTTAGATTAAAAGTTACGTCTTACATTGGTGTCCATGTGGAAATTACCCCTTACATTGGTGTCAGTGTAAATATGAACCCTTACATTGGTGGTCAGTGTAGACGTGACTCCTTATATTGATGGTCAGTTTAAAAGTTACATGTTACATTGGTGTCCATTTGGAAATGACCCCTTACATTAGTGGTCCGTGTAGATGTGAACCCTTATATTGATGATCAGTGGAAAAGTAACACCTTATGTTAGTGGTTAGTATAGAAGTGACTTCTTAAATGGATGGTTACTATAGGCAGGAGATCAATCTACTACTGCTATCATCTCAAGAAACCCCTTGCAACCTCTAGAACAGAGGCAAACTCTGGCCTTCCAGCTGTGGTGCAACTACAAATCCCATTAGGCATTGCAAGGCTCTGATAGCCACAGATATGACTGCCAGGGGCAGATAAATTATGGAACGTGCAGTTTCACCACAGCTGGAGGTCTGGAGTTTGCCTAACCCTGCTCTATGAGTATTCAAGCATTCAACTGATAAATTTATAGTTACCAATTAATTAACAGATTTAATATTAACTATTAACTTATTTTCCAAAATACTATGGGCAACATTTGTCAATGGAATGTTCATATAGACACAGCATTCTGTCTCTGAGGATTTCTGATGTAGCATGTCCAGGAGGAATGGAATGTATATTACAATGGCATCTTTAATATCAAACAATATTTTTCTGGATTTGCATCCCCTGTGCCATCACATAATCTCATTTTACATTTTAGAATGAGGGTAATAGGTTTTCACTATACTTGTTTTCCCATGTTATCTGCAGTTCTCTTTTAATTCCTCCAAGGTGCATTGACAATGATATGTTAGGAAGGAATGATAGGAAGGTTATATATGAACTCTGCACTGGAGACTATTTAGATGATGAACTTCCAGCAAATCTTTTCTGGATGTACATTACTGGAGTAACATTTATTTACCCACCTTAAGTTATTAACTGTGCCTATCTTTGTGAGCTGTAAATCTCTGGGGCAGTGGCCATCTCTTGAAACTGCCATAGTAAATACTGTGGAGCTGAGCCAGGCAGCTGTGAGAGCTCAGTGCTAGAAAGCAGCAGGAGAAATCTCTTGCAGTACTAAGTGACTATGGCAGGCGCGCTGCTCTTTTCTGCACAATTATCAGTTCACAGTGTCATATCTCATTTGTGACTGATTTGAAATGGAACACAGCATGGAGCAGAAGTGCCCCTCTCCTCTGGCAGATTGAAAACAAGGAGCACATTATTAGCACTTTTATTTTTATGCCATGTGTTGATGGAGGAAAGTGAAGCTGAAACAAGGTGGACAAAGCGAGCAGAAAACCCATAAGGAGCTGTCAGCATGAGGCATGAACAGAGCATTGTAATCAGTGTAATTACCCTAGATGAAACAGGGCTAGAGTGGCACAAGAACTGTACTGTAGAAACAAACTTTTATTTTACAGCATATTAGCTAAAGCATGCACGTCTGTTGAACTGGCTGAATATGGAAGGACACCTTACTGCTGAGCACAGATGTGTGCATTGGTGCAGTGGCAAGTCCTAAGGCATGTGTTGGGCGCAGGCGAGAGCAGAGGCAGGCACTGGTGCAGTGGTGGGTGCAGTGGGGGTATGTGGGAGAGGTAATAAAAGCACAGGGAGAGAAAGGTAGGCAGTCATGTGGGATGAGTGGGGTTTGGTATGCAGACTTGGTAAGGGGGAGTCGGCTGCAGTGGTGGTTGCACAGGCAGATAAGTGGCATGATGGAGCAGTGTTGGGGAGGTTTGAGGAATGGTGGTGAGAAGGAGAATGCAGGCACAGTGGTTACAGGCAGATGAGGCAGATGTGGGGATGCTGGCAAATTAGTGTTGGGGGGTGGTTTCAGGCATGGTGGTGAGGAGGGAAATGCAGTCACTGCGGTTACGGCAGATGTCGGGAGGTGCTGGCTTGTTGGTATTGAGGCAGGTGGTTTCAGGCACAGTGTGAATGGTGATTCAGTGAGCAACTGTCAGCTGTAAAGTCAGAAGCAGTCCTTTTGGCAGGCAACAGAAGTCAGCGTGAGCTGCCAGGCCAAGAAATTGAATGCTGTGTAGGCCTCAGCAGAAGCCAGTGTAAGGAGGTGGCATGAGCTGACGGGCCAGAAATTTGAACGTCATGTCCCATTGCAGAACAATCTGACCTGCTGCAGGGCAACTCTGAATCCCATTATTGCATAATCTGTGAACAAAAGCTCTTCCAGATAGGGGGGTTATCTGCATAGGGGGCTGGCATAGCTAGCTTCTGCTCTCGGATATTAGAGGCAAAGCTGGGTGGATCCTACCAATATATTTGTGATGTTTCCCGAACATGGAGCTGATGGCAATCAATAACCTGCTATCAGCTGACTTTGGGTCACAGGAATACATTAGTAAATGTACTCCTGTGACCTAAAAGAGAAGAATAGCCAAAAAAAAAGGTTTGGCCATAGTTCTCTTTTAAAGTTGGAACAGATTATGAATTGTATATATGGCACCACTATGTTAACATTTTGTAGAAGTGGAAAAGTGTAGTGAATGTATACGTTTAGTGCATATGCAATGTTCTTTATTGTATTTTTCTGTACAGAGCTTTACAGTTTATTCCCAACTTTTGTAAGTGATTAGCATTTATTTTGATAATGTAGAGGTGCCGTGATGATGTATATGTGCGCACATTTTTTACATGATTCACATTGCAGGTTTTCTTAATTTAAAAAAAAATTAATTTCTATTAGGGCTAATGCCTAGAACATAAACACAGGAAACTCAGCCTGATACTGGGGCCGGATGTAAAGAAGGCTGTAAACAGCTCTCCCCCTCCCTGTTATTCATTGTAACACGATCAGTAAACAGCAGCTCTGCCTTTGCACACAATACACTATCCAGCGGGGTCACTATGAATGCTAATGAATAGGGGTGGAGAGGTCACTTGTATTATACACACATTACTTGCAAAGCACAATTGCAGCCATTTCCATGAGGAGATTGAGAAAAAATGTATGTTTTTGTGTTCTTATACAGCAACTGCATATGCCTGTTTCATGTACACTTGGTGTATATTGCTGGGATATGTATTTTTTTCCAAAATACCTCAGCAAAGGTGGAGATAGGCTTTAAAAAATGTTATTAAAATTTACATATAAGCATAACAGTCTGAACATACGCCAGTCCATGAGAGACAGTAGGCCTCAGTAATTGGATTCCAGCAGTCATTTTTTTAGAAGCTTCACCATTTTATATACTCTTTACTTTATAATGGATGGGAAAAATAATCTCATTCTGACAGCCTCCTCTTATTACGTGCAGGTTTGGTAATGGGATTAATAATACGATATGCAACAAAATCCTATGAACAGGGGAACGGAGCTGTGTATGACTGTGAGAGCCTGAAGAGCAATCCTGCAATGCTGCTGATTAACGTCACAGACCATGTCTACCAGTATGAGTACCGGGGGGAGATCAACAAGCACAATGTTTACAATGACCAGGGAAATGCTATGCTGCAGAAGGTAAGTGACAAGTTACACAAGAGACTTAATTAAAGGATGTACTTGGTACTACCAGCTTGACAATAACATATTGGGTGAGATTTAAGAAGCAAGGGATAATGAGTGATTGGACTTGATAAGAGTCAGGAGGTTGCTTAGAAAACTGCTGTTACCTTTTCCTTTCACTTTCTTGTTGATGCCCCAGACCTGATTTACTAAAGTGTAAAATTAAAGTGACACTAAACTCAGGAGTTAAATCCTAAAATGCATTCAAGTACCTTAACTATTAACAAAAATGTATCTTATTTGTGTATCACTCAGCTGTAGATCCTCAAATCATCTCTGAATTGGTGCTGGCACTGTCCTTCCTTCTGGAGGGGGGCTACTTTTGTTCCCCATGGTCTCTGTGTGTGTTGTAAAGTAGCCACAACTCCAAGCTTGCTCCCGTGATAAACTACAACCTCAATACAAATTGGCTAAGTAAATATGAGATTATAGTCCTTCACAAGAGTGAGCTTGGAGAGGTGGATACTTTACAACACACACAGGGACCATGGGGAACAAAAGTAGTCACCCTCCAGAAGGATGGACAGTGCCAGCACCAATTTAGAGATGATTTGATGATCTACAGCTGAGTGATACACAAATAAGATACATTTATGTTTATAGGTAAGGTACTTGAATGCAAGTGAGCTAAAGTGAAGTGATCTAAACTGAGGTCATGTGAAACACAGTCATATACAGAGAAATCTAAAAACAGAAACTTCCTCTGTACGGCACAGGATTATAAAGTGAACATGGATTTACTTTTCCTCATTTCAAGCTTAAATAAATCAGACCATTTCTGGATTTCCCGTTATTAATTAGTGGTCCCTGTAAGATTCTCCCCACAATTGTTTCTGCAGCTACTTGAGGCAACACAGTTATACACAAACTGTATATATACAAATGTCCCATTATATTATCTCAACAGATTACTAGGTACATACAGTATGTCGTGCCGAAAGCACAGGTCTCTTTACTTCAGCCTTTTCTTTGGAAATAATTTCACTTCATAATTGCTGTCTGAGCAATAAGGAAGTGTTTTAGGAAACACTGATGTGATGAAATGTGCATGATATTCACTTTATAGAATAGTAGTAATGCTGAGGCATCGCTTCCTGTTTGTCTTCACAAGTGCTCAGGGATAGAAGCGTGCTATTGACAATGCTTGGCTTTGTGTAATGAACTTGATGAAAGTAAAGATCAGAGGTATTTCCTAAAGACAGAATTCTAAACCACTGTACGTTTAGTACATAACTCCAGTTATGCATTCTTTTAAAATAATTTAAGTGCATCTTTAACCAAAATCTTTAAATTAAGAAAGAGTGTGCAGACAAAAATTGAGAAAATAGAGCAGATCCTGGAGCAAGCACCTTTGTTCATTAGGAGCGATCTGCTCCATTTTCTATGCCCGCAGTTCAGCTGGAGTGGCTTGCTCTGCCTCTTTCTGCCTGTCCCTGCTCCCCTGCCCCACAACAAAGTGCGAGAGGAAGGCTGTTATCTCTGAATTTGCTGAGCCAGACCTAAAGCTTTGTAATCAGCAAACCTTATGTTGACTGCCACTTGGAGGGCT